TAATCGCCATTTAAGGAATTTTAATGGTATTATTTTTGCTGCTTAGTGTTGTAGAATGAGTGTGAATCAAATAAATGATTAGAACCATCTCTTAGGATAAATGGAAATTGATTTTAGCCCAAACAAAACTGTTGTAGAATTAAAGTTAGGATCCATTCAGACTTTGTTTGCATTGCTTTAGTCATAGGAGGTGCTTTCCTTTTGCCTCAGCAGGGGCTAAATGAGTCACCCTTTGAGGGCATTGTTGGCCTAAAATGTACAGATGCGAAAAAGCTCATGTGGGGCAATATTATATCATACCAAAAACCATTTTAGTTCTGTTCAGAGGTCTGTTTTACATAATTATGGCCCCAAACAGCTCCTATCAAGAGCGTCGTTTCAGACCCTATGATGCCGATTGAGCCGTTAAATTTTGTTTGTTTTGACCATACATCGGCCTTAATTGGCCACAAAATAGGGGTCACTTTTCACTCTTTTTAAGGTACTAATTGGTTCCAAAAGGGCTGATTTGGCCATACCATTTTGACTCCTTTAAAAGCCAAAACTACCCATCGTTTTTCCAAAACTACCCCTCATTTTCCTAAGACAGCCCCGCTATGAAGTCGTTTCGGCTGTCCCATACAGGGCTATTTCTGCCCTTTTTGTTAAGGCCGAAACATTTCCAGAAGGGCCAAATGAGTCCCAAAAATTGGACTATTCACTTCCTGAAATGGCCCTATTTTAGGGGCTGAAACAGATCCTTTCGATTTACAGTCTAAAAGCAAGCAGAAAACAAAACCTGTATGAAAAAAAAAAAAAGGGAATAGTAAACCTCAAAACAATATACAGTAAACCTTGATAAGTGTAAGTGAATAAGTGTAAATATTGTAAACTTTGTATACTGTTGAATTTAATGTGTGCAGTTTGGTCACAGAGGAAAATGAAGGAATACACACAACTCGACAGTCGTTAAGCGTCGAAAAGGATGAAGTTTTTTACCAAAACCATGTATTTCGATTTTTAAACGCTAACAAAAATGTAGAAATGGTATGTCCACTCCGGAAAATAACACCGCAAACAACAGCAAGCCCTAACCGCGATGAGAACAC